GAGCCCCGCACCAAGCCCTGTGCTCCAGTCCTGAGCCGCACAACGAGCCCCGCACCCCAGCCCTGAGCCCCACACCCCAGCCCTGAGCACCACACTGAGCCCGGCATCCACAACCCGGCTCTGAACCCAGCACTGTGTCCCGCATCCCAGCCCTGATCCTGTCACCAAGCCCAGCCCTGAGCCCCACACCAAGCCCTGCACCCGCACCCTGGCTCTGAACCCGGCACTGAGCTCCACATCCCAGCCCTGAGCCCCACACCCTGGCCCCAAGCCCTGTTCCGAGCCCTGCACCAAGCCCGGCACCCACTCTGGCATCCTGGCCCTGAGCCCCACACCCACATTCCAGCTGTGATTCCAGCACCAAACACGGCAACAGCACCCAAATCCTAACCATGATCCTAACACCCACATCCCAGCACCGAGCCCGGCCTCAGCCCTGAGGCTGCCACTGGCACCCTCATCCCAGCACTGAGACCGGTACCGGCACCAGCATCCTGGCCCTGACCTTGGTACCAGCATCCCAACCCCAAGTGCAGAACTGAGGCTGGCACCATCCCCTGCATCCCAGTGCTGAGTCTGGCACCAAACCTGGCACCAGCACTGTGCTATGGGCCCCCCAGTACTGGCTCCCTGGCACTGGGGCATCCCTGCCCCTTCATCCCAGCCCCGACCTCGGCACCGAGCCCAGCACCAGCATCCTGGTTCTGGCACCCCGGTCTGGATSGCTCTGCACCAAAACCCAGGCACAACCCCCAGCACTGGCATCCCAGCCCTGTCCCCCACATCCAGCCCACTACCTGCACCTCGGCACCAACAGGCCACTGGTCCTCAGCACCAGCACCTGGGCCTGAGCCCCGCAGCAGCACTCAGGCAGCAGCACCCAGGACCCGCATCCTGGCCCCCAGCACCCTGGCAGCAGCATCCAGGGAGCSCTGGGGCACCTTGGTGCTGAGCCTGGCTTGTCGCCCCTGGCACATCCTCCCCCAGCACCTTGTGCCAGCCCAGTCTCTGCACCAGCTCCCTGACCCCCCTGGAGCCCCACCTGCCCCCATGCTGCCCCCCCCATGCCACAGCCCTTGTTGTCCCCCAGCACCCATGGGGACCTGGCACCCTGGGGCCTGGCTGGGCACCCCTGGGGCTGACAGGCAGTGGGGTCTCACCCATCGAGGGACCCTGTTGCCCCTGATGGATGTCACATCTCCTCCAGGAGCCCCCATGGGTGCCCGTCCCCATGTCACACAGCAGGGAAGCACCACGGTGCCAGGCAGGGTTTATTCTCTGGGAGGTGGCAGTGGGGTAGCGGGTCCCATGGTGCCAATCTGGATGCCCCATAAGCACCCAAGTACATCGSGGTTGGGAGCGGGATGTCAGGTAGTGCAGCCAGAGCAGGGCCACAGTGTCCCCTGCCCCTTGGTGGCACTGCGTTGCAGTGGGGCTGGCTGGGGGGACACACATGCCCCCAGCTAGCCCTGGGCATCGCCGGGCTCCTGGGCCTGGTCTGGCGTCAGCTCCTGCTTGTCGTCCTCTGTGGGTGGCCGCGTCCTCTTGAAAAAGCCCATCTGGAGGAGGGAGCTGGTGACATCCTGGCCACAGGGGACAGGCGRCAGGGTGCCGGCAGCGCCCGCTCACCTTCCACATGACGAAGATGAAGACAGCGAGGAGCAGGAGCCCGGCCAGGGCGCCCAGCACCACCCACCACACGGGCACCTGCTTCTCGGTGCTGAGGCTCAYGTGCACGGCCAGCGTGGTGGCCTGCGTGGGGACATTGCAGGCGACCCCGTCACCCGGGGGTGCCCCAGCAGCCCAGTCACCTGGGGGTACCCCCAGCAGCCATACTGCCTGGACCCCAATGCAGTGCTACAGGGGGTGCCCAGCTCTGCCACCCASAGGGTGCCCCGGCGCCAGCCCTACCGTGGCCTCTCCGCTGGGCAGCGCGCGGGGCTGGACGCGGTAGGGCATGGCCAAGACGCGGAACGAGGCATGGGACTGGAGGAGCAGCTGCTTCTGCAGGAGCTCGGGCTGGGCGCGGGGACAAGCACAGGCGTGAGCGGAGCTGGCAGCCGGCGTCCCCACGGGTGCAGTCGGGCACTGCAGGCGCCAGCTCTGCCTCCGCCTCAAGGCCTTGGCCCCTCGGGCAYATGGTGCCAGGAACCACCTGCGGGCTGCTGCTGTGGTGGCCCTGGGCTTGGTGCGACCCTTGGGAGCAACCTCCACACGGGCACCAGGCAGGCACGCGCTCCATGTGGTCCCACTTCATGGGGACACTGCGGGTGACGCCTCCGGCCCTGGTAGGCGCAGTACCTGGTAGAGGGTGTCCATCCAGAGCAGGGCATGGACACTCACGAGCGCCCGCTGCCCCTTGGGCAGGCTCTGCACCCTGCACACGATGCTCTCGCACGGCTCTGCGCTGCAGTTCTGCAGGACACAGCGGGGCGCTCAGCCCGGCCCCGCGGGCACCCGCTCCGCTCGCCCAGGAGCAGGGGCAAGGGCAGGGCGGCGCTGGGCACGGCCGTCGCTCACCACGTGGACTGTCTCCGGCGGGGCGGCCGGCGGCTGCTCGCCCACCGCCCGGCGCTCCCGCCCATGGCTGGCGTTGCGGCCCGCGGCGCCCGTGGGCCGGGGCATCTCCAGCTGCAGGGAGAGGTGGAGGCGGCTCTGGCGAGCGGCAGCCACGCGCGGGTCCCGGCCACGGTCCCCCTGCCCACCTGCATTGGGTTGAGGCCGGGCGGCTCCGTGCAGTTCAAGCCGCCCTCGGTGCCCAGGTCCAGCAGGTAGAAGACGAGGCTGCCTCGGAGGTGGCTGGGCACGGCGAGGCGCAGGGCGACGCCGCTCACGGTGCCAGGACCCTTGTTGTGGAGCTGCGGGGTGGAGCGCGGGGGTGGCCGGGCACCGCGGGTGCCGCACTGTGGGCATCACGGGCAGCGGGCGGCGYGGGTGCCTACCTGGTAGACGTGTTCCACCTTGAGGCCATGGTCCTCTGGCCGCCGACTGCCCTCCAGCGCCTGCCACGCCGCGGGCAGCACCACGGTGGCCGGCAGGGACATCCTGCGCAGGAGGAGAGCGCTCAGGGCCGGGCGGCCGCCCGCACCGTGCCCGCCRTGCCCGCTATGCCCGCTGCTCACCCGCGCAGCTCCATGGCCGCCTGGGCCTCCACGGGCACCTTCACCTCGCACACGGCGCTGTTGGGGCTGTGGCTGTTCTTGCTGCAGGTGCCAAGGGCGGGCGGAGGGTGAGCGAGGCCGGGCAGGCATCACGGCTGCCACCCGCCCCGTGTCCCCCGGCCACCGTGTCACCTCCGCAGCTGCAGCTGGAAGGCAACGGTGTCCCCGGCATCCTCCAGGCCGGACACGCTCAGCTCCATGACCACGGCGATCTGCGAGGGGGCTGCACGTGGGCACCTGGACCACGGTGGCCACAGGCCGCACGCCAGGGTGAGGGACACGGCYACCAGAAGCCCTTACGCGGGCACCGGCCTTCATGGGGTTGCCCAGCTCACAGAGCACCACGTGGCTCCTGTTCTCCTTGCGGGGGTTGCAACTGAGCTTCTCCTGCCCCTGCAGCCAAACGGCGTCATCRGGGTCAAGGTGGCACCAAGTGGGGCCCGGGCACCCGCAGCCCCTTCCCGCCACGGGCAGATGTCTAGGGGCAGCGAAGGGGCATAGCCCCACCGGGCCCCCCGCAGGACCCACCGGGACGTCACTGGTGGCTCTCTGGAAGTGGGCGCCGGGCGGCAGCTGCACGCGCAGCTCGGCCTCGAAGGCGCCCTCGCCGCCGTTGCTGGCGTTGGCGCGGAGCCGCACCACGTTGTCGGCCCCGATGAGCAGCCGCGTGCCCGGCCTGGGGACACGCGGCCAGGCCGTCAGCGCCCCCGCACCGGCCGACCGAGCCCCCCGGCCTGGTGGCGCCGCCCGCCACCACGTGCCACCGCTGTCCCCCCGCCAAGGCGGCGGCGGCGCCGGCGCAGCTGCTCACGTGTCGGCGGCGAGGCGGAGGTCGGGGATGCAGACGTTGTCCTCGCCGCAGTCAAGCAGGATGCGTGTCTGGCTCAGGGGCAACACGCGAGGTAGGGGACAGCGGGTGGCACAACCGGGGCGGGGACAGGGTCCGCGGGGTGCGCAGGGCTCCATCACAGAGAGGATGGGGACAGCAGGGTGGCATGGGGCACAACCCAGGGAGCAGATGAGGATGGCAGGGTGGGCAGGGGGTCTCTCTTGCAGGCCATAGAGGTGTTGGGGTGGACAGGGGTCCAATCCAGGGAGGGATGGGGACAGCAGGGTGACACAGGGCCCATCCTGGGGAATGGATGAGGGCAGCAGGGCGGGCAGGGGTCAATCCAGGCTGGCCAGGGAGGCACCACTAGCCTGGCAGGGGCAATGTCCCCAAGGGGGATGCTGCTCAGCGGGGCGGGCGGGCGCCCAGGAGTGTCCCCGAGACACGTGGGCAGGGGGGACGCGACCCGCGGGCACCTCAGCAGGGCCGCGGGGATGGCACCTGCTCCTGCACCAGCGTGTCCCCGTAGAGCAGCAGCCCCAGGGCGCCGGGGTCCGGCGGCGCCGCCAGCGTCACGTTGAGGCTCACGGCGATGGGGCTCAGCTTGTCCTTGAACTCGGCCTCGTCCTAGGGCAGCGGCAGCTGCAGCGGGCACTGCCGCCGCAGCCCCGGCCCGCCGCAGCCCCGGCCCACCGCTGCCCCGCGCCCGCCGCCCGGCCCTACCCGCAGGTAGGCAGTGAGGTTGTGGCACAGCGGCCGCCCCGGTGCCAGCGCCAGCTCCTGCAGCCACCAGGACTGGCCGCCCGGCCACAGGAAGACTCTCCGCGCCAGCCTCTGCTTCAGGCGGTCCAGCTGCAGCTCGGCCCGCAGGCCTGCGCGGGGGACACCAYGGTGGCACCGCGCGCCCCTGCTGCCACCCGGGAGGGCCCCGGTGCCGCGGCACTCACGGATGCTCTGGGGGATGTGCTGGCCCGACACGCTCACGCACAGCAGGACGGGGAAGCTGCGGGAACGGGCGCTCAGGGCGCTGCTGGGGCTGCATGGCCCCATGGCCCCCGTGCCCCCCCACAGGGCACCTCTGTGTCCCCTGTGTCCCCTGCGCCCCCTGTGCTCCCCGTGGCCCCCATGTCGCCCATGCCCTCCATGCCTTCTGTGTCCCCATACCCACCCACATGGCACCTCCATGCTCCCCATGCCCCCTGTGCTCCCCATGCCCCCTGTCCCCCCTGTCCTCCCTATGCTCTCTGTGCTCCCCATGCCCCCCATGTCCCCTGTGTCCCCCATGCCCTCCGTGCCCTCCACACCCCCCATGCCCGTGGCACCCTCACCAGTTGAGGCGGGTGTCGGAGCCGGGCACGGAGCATTCCTGCTTCTCGGGGTTGAGGCCGTCGGGCAGGGTGAGCCGCGCGCGCAGCACGGCCACGGGCTGGCCCCTGCGGGCACCGCAGCTCAGGGCAGGGCCCAGGGCAGCGCCCAGCGCCCCCGCACCCGCCGGCAGCACCCACCGGTACACAGCCACCCTGTCGGCGCCGAACGCCCCCACCAGCAGATCTGCGGGACGAGCGCAGCGACGTTGGCCCCGTGGGCGGCAGCGGCGCCACGCGGCCCCCGGTGCCCCGCGCCCCTACCCGGGTAGCCGTTGCCGTCCAGGTCGGAGGCGCCGCGCAGGGCGAAGCCGAAGGCGGCCGGCCCCGCGAAGGGGCTCTCGAGGCGCTGCGAGGGCGCCTGCTCCAGCCCCTCGCTCTGCCCGCGGAAGATGAAGACGCACCCGCTGCCACCGTCGCCCCCGAACGGGGCACCCACGGCCACGTCTGGTGAGAGACAGCGAGCGTGGCAGCCCCCGGGCGCTCACAGCCCTCTGCCCAGAGCCTCGTCTGCCCTCGGCTCAGCCCGGGCGCCGCGTTACCCGCGTGGCCGTCCTGGTCCAGGTCGCCCAGGCTGGCGATGGCCGAGCCGAAGCGGCCGTAGGGGTCGGGGCCCGTCAGCGTCTGCCAGGGCCGGGCGTAGGGCTGGGCGCCGCGGCGCAGGTAGAGGTAGAGGCGCCCCAGCTCGTGGCGGGTGCCATCGGCGCGGCGCGCCAGGAACAGCGGGGCGCCCACCAGAACATCGTCCCGCCTGGCACCGGGCAGCCGTCAGGTGGGCGCCGCGCGCCGCGGCACCCTGGGGTGCCCTGYGCTGATGGGGGGATGCGCACAGCCCCGGGCCTCACCCGTCGCCGTCGACATCCGCCACAGCCACCGTGTGCCCGAAGTAGGAAGCCACCTGGAAAGGGGGGATGCGGAGGAGCACTGTGGGGCGACGGGGGCACTGAGCGCTCTGGGGCACTGGGTGACACTGGGACCAGCACTGGCTGTGATGGGAGTGGTGGGTTGGTGCTATGGGGTAATGGTGCAATGGGATGGGGTGCAGTGGGTGCCCTGGGCACTGTGGGGCAGGGTGCTGCAGGGTGATGGTGCAGCAGGGCAGGGTGCAGCAAGCGCTGCAGGGGCAGGGCACAGTGGGTGCCAAGTGGCGCTGGTGCCAAGGGGCATAGATGACAAGCTGGGTGCTGCCTGGTGATGGTGCAGTGAAGCAGGCTGTGGTGGGTGCTGTGGTGCTGGGCACAGTGGGTGCAGTGGGGCAGGCTGCAGTGGGTGCTGTGGTGCTGGGTGCAGTGGGTGCAGTGGGGCAGGCTGCAGTGGGGCTGGCGCGGGGCCGGGGCGCAGGGTACCTGCTCGCTGGCGATGCCCTGCAGCCGCCGCAGGCTCCGCCCCGCGCTGAAGATCTCCACCTGCCCGAGAGGCGTCAGGACGTCGGTGCCCGCCCGGCGCCCGCCCGTGTCGCCCAGTGCCGCCCAGGCAGCGCCGGGCGCTGGCGCCGCTCACCTCGCCCCGGGTGTTGCTCTTGTTGGGCACCCCCACCACGTACTCTGCGAGGGAGGAGAGCCCTGAGCGTCCCCCGGCGCTCCCGGCGGGGGGACGTCCGGCGGTGCCACTGCCACCGCGCACGGCCCTACCTGTGGTCTCAGGGTTGTCGTCCAGCTCGCCCACGGCCACCGCGTACCCTGCGGGGAGACGGGCGCCCGTGACCCCCGTGAACAGCTACAAGGGCCGTGCGGAGCTCACGGCRGGTGCAGGACGCCGGGGCCCTTCCGGCAGCGCCGCCGGCTTTGGGGGCCCGCACGGCCTCACGCGGGCAACGCCGCTGGCACTGCTCACCGCGGTAGCCGTCGTCGTAGTCGAGGGAGACCGGCTGCTCCGTGGAGCGCCCCGGGCTCGCGGGCGGCAGCAGCGTCGCGCCCGCGTCCCGGGACAGGATGGCGTCCACGCTCACCGAGTACAGGAGGCCTGCGGAGACCGGGGACACGGAGCGGGCACCGCAGGGCCGCCCCCTGCCCTCCCAGCACCCGCCCCAGGTGGCCCCATGACATGGAGCCCGCCGGGACACCAGGACCCCCGTGGGGGACGGGGGTGAGCCCAGCACTCACCTGCAAAGTAGTACCCGCCGGGGGCGCCCAGGACCAGCGTGCCAGCCTGCGGGAAGGGCCGCGTCAGCGCCCGCTGGGTGACAACAGTGGCGCCGCCGTGGCCCCGGCGCGGGACTCACCGTGCTGGCCGCCGCGCTGAAGCCCAGCTCGCAGTAGCGCTTGTCGTGGGCTGCGGGCAGGGCCGGTGTCAGCGGGGCGGGCAGAGCCGCTGCTGCCGCCACCACCGCCGCCACCACCGCCRCCGCCRCCACCRCCGCTGCCTCGAGCGCGGCGCTCACCGTACTGCATGTGGCGGTAGGTGTCGGCCAGGCGGTCGTCTCGGCAGGGCGCGTAGCGGGCGAAGGGCCGCCCGGCGCCCCCCACGAAGCAGGCGCCCGTGGGCGTGCGGAAGGCCTCGCCGGCGGCGCCCAGCGCGTTCCAGTGC